TACCAAGGAAGGCCACTGTTAGCTTCGGCTAACTCCCAAACGGATTCCACAACCGTTGAGACTAAAATTTTACCACCTCCGTGGTTACTACCGGCACACACATGTCCGGCTGCCTACCTGCAGTACACTGAAAACAAAACCCTCACTAGCATCACATAACCGTACCAAGACCAATTTGCATATTAGTAAATCCATCTGCACCAAGTAAGTTTACAATAACAAATATGGAACGCCAAAGATGCCTTTAGTGACACCAAAATTGCTGGTTTTCATGACAAGCTCTAACAAAGAAACATTAATTATCGGTGATATAAATTGTGACACTTTGTCGCAAAATTCTACCTGTTATACAAACAGACTAATTGAAATAACATACAGCCATTTTCTAACACAAATCATAAATGAAACAACAAGGATAACTAAACATAGTAAAACCCTGATTGATCATTCTGCTATTTATGCCATAATTGGTAAAGAAAAGAAGCCTCAACATAAACAAATTTAAAATAAAAAGAAATTATAATAAACTTTTTGAAGAAGACTTCAAAATTGATGTGTAGGATGTAAATTTGTTTGAAATAACTTCCTATTCAAATGTTAATGATGCTCTAAAATTTTTTGAAGACAAGTTTTTAAAAATATTTTGAAAAGCATGCACCGCTAAAAAAGAAACGTGTTCGAAATAAAAATAGTCCTTGGCTCACAGAAAGTTTAATACTACTAATGAGAGAATGTGATGTTAAAAAAAAAGAGCCAGTAAAGAAAATATTCCTCAATTGTGGAATGAATATCGAAAACTAAAAAATAAAGTATATCAGATGATCAAGAAAAGTAAAAAGGAATATTTCACTGAACAATTAAACACTAAAGATTCTCTATGTGGAAAAATATAAGATATGTTGACTTGAATGGACTTGAATCAGATCCTCACAAAATTGCAAGTACACTTAACAATTTTTTGGCCAACATAGGTCCTAAATAGCCATGGAAATCCCTGTGGTTGAAATTAATGAAATTAACTGTGAAGCTTCAAATGAAGACTCAAAAATAAATTTTGTACTATATGGAATATACACATAAACATATTGGTTCATTATCAACAAAAAAGTCTACAGGGACAGATGAAATTCCAGCTAAGTTACGTACTGTACATTGGCCATTGACTCAATAGTGGCACCCATTACATATTTAATAAACTTGTCTTTAACAACAGGGGAATATCTAAACAAATGGAAGAATGCTAGGATATGCCCAATTTTCAAAGGTGCGATCCATGCGAACCTTGTAATTATAGACCTATTTCTATTTTGCACAGTTAATAGCAACTAAGAGAGTCGTACTTAGCTTTCTAGCTAGGTTATATGACCCAATGCGTTTCCTTACACCCTTTACGATGTATGCTAAGATTTCACTTCAGGATATCAGGGTGTTAAATGCACAATGGGATGATGAGGTGCCCCATGCCTTACAGTTAAAGTTTAAGAATTGGTTTAGTGGCCTTGATTGTATTAAAAAAATGGACGATTCCTAGGTGCTACACATCACACTCATGGACAGGTTTTAAAGGTTTGGAACTTAATTGCTTTTAAGATGCATAGGAAAAGGGTTATGGTTCTGTAGTATATTTATGAATTCCTCGAGGAGATGGCACCTTTAAGGTGTCATTTGTTACCTTCAAAGCAAGGGTATAGCCCAATAAATAAGGTTTCTTTACCTAGATTTGAGCTTCTTCCAGTCTCACTGCAAGATTAATGGTATTTTTTCGCAGTGCATTAAAACTCCCGAGTGTAGTTTACAGATTTTGGACAGATTCAGCTGTCCCACTTGGTTGGATCAAGGGTCAACCCTCTAGGTGGAAGACCTTCATAGCTAATTGGGTGTCTGAAATTCAGCAATTGATAAGTACATTGCCAATGTGATTCCTACAATAATTACTTGAAGTTTCAAGATTAAAATTGGAGGTTAAAAAGTATTCAGCAGTAAAATTTGACGAAAAGAAATTTTAAAATCATTGGCAATAACAATAGGGTCGTCAACTGAGCATTCATATATTAAAAGCTTTTGCCACAGGCTTGGCTCTCTTCTTGGCGGACAAACCCCCAGAAAGCTTTACGATTATCAGAGCATCTTTTGGCTAGTTCATAAATATAGTTATGGTAAGATTTCCGTGTTTCATATTTATGATTGTTACAACATTTTTAATAGACATACCAAGTATTTAAGTTGTCTTCTAATCTGTTCTTTTTGCAGATAATCTTAAGAATTTCTGAATTAATCAATGGCTGTTTTCCTTTCATTTTTTGGTCTCCTAGTGGGAACGACTTTGTAAATCGCATCAAGAAATTTTTCTTTGAAATGCTTCCATGAGGTATCAACGTTGTTGGAACAAAACATTCATCCCAGTTAAGATTAGAAAAAGTGTTGATAAAATCAACAGTAGAAATTTTTGAATATTGGAGTAAGAAAAGTTAGTACAACAGAAAAACCATCATGGTCACTACCTGGTATTCCAGGGTGTGGTGAAATATTTTTAACAATATTGATTTCATTTGTATAAAGAGGATCAATTCTCGTTCCAACACTTGTAAGATCTAGTGACAAAAGAGATCATTTGCGTTAAGTTCAAAGTATCTATTGAACATTTTAGTTAATTAAAATGACTGTTAGGTACATTGCACTATAAGAAATATTAAAATCACCCGCTAAAATAATAGATTTATACATAAATGAATATCTTAAAATTTTATCAAAAGATTCCTGAAGTTTATAGAAGAAAGAATTGTTGGCGCTTTCCGTGTTTTTTTTGCACAACAGTCCAAAGAAGTTCAAGACCATCAACTTGGAATTGTTCAGCTGATAATGGACGAACATCGTGTTTTGCTGCAATTAACACCCCACCTCCATGCTGGTTTGGTCTTTGTGAAACACTGTACTCATCTGGAAAAAAGCTTGGAACTATCTACGGATGAGTCAAGCCATGTTTTAGTGATCAGGAGCAGAGATGGTTCTTCAGTAGAAACCACAAATTCTAGACGGTCACGTTTATTAACTATGCTTCGAGCATTGAAATAGAGTACTTTAGCCAAAATGGCACGAAAAGGTGTTGATCCAGAAATGGAATGACTGTGTCCAAATGCGGATGAAAACTTTAAGTTACGAGGAACATAATTTTGGTATGATGACAACAGAATTAAAAATGTAACAGTACGAGCAACAGGATTGAACATTTGCATATTAGTGTACAAACGTTTGTCGGTATTTAGTTACGGCTTCGAGTGTAAACAAAAGCAAGTGATCATGTGATCAAAAGATTCCCGCTAAACGACGTGGCGGTAAATACACTTAGATCACGATGAAAAAATAATGTTCTATATCTTGAAAAAGACAAAAAGCATGAAAATTTCAATTTAGACCACAGCATACATGTCCATATGTGTGAAAATGGATCCAGAAAAATCTGGATAAAATTCTTGTAGGCCAAGGTGAATTCACCAAGGGCATGTAGACCGGTGAAATGGGGCTCCGATTGGCTGGCGATTTGCAATTGTTTTTCGTTGTTCCAGGCCTAGCAAGATTGATAAGATTGAAATCGATACAAACATTAAAATTCCTTGATATATGCATTAAAAACTGACACTACATCCATCCAAAATTCCAATATTGCACGATAGGCCAAGATCCGCATGAAAATTAACACAGCAAGGATGTTTTTTTTTGTAATAATAATATATTATTTACGGGATAGTTTCAAACAACTTACTACTGAACTGGGAGTTATATTGGCTCTGATCGGTGGTTCATTGCTATGTAGTGTCATTTGGTATAGCAATTGAAATACAGGTTATTGCTGCATAATACAACAGTTCGACTGTTTCATTTGGATAGTCTTTGTGGAAAGTCCGCAAAATACAGTACGTTTTTCTTGATATAAAATTGACCTAGCATACAACATGACTCTTTCTCAAGACACTCCACATTAAATGATTTAATTATACTGTAAGTTCAATATGTTATGTTTTATGTTACAGTAGGTATTCAATATGTTTTATATTATAAAAACTGCCACACTTCCACACTGCAGTTGTTTTAGTGTGTTTCAGATTACAGTAACCATCAAATTTGCAGCTACCCTACAAGGAAATCTATTTTTATCACCTCTGTCTCGCGTTTGTTGAAATACTCCTCCTAATTGGTTAATTAGTAGAAGGTTATTATAAGTTAGTATATAGAATTTTATATTTTTTAAAAATTTTACTAAGCATAATTTTGCTTGGACTGAGTTTTGGATAAAAATCAAGTTTTGAAAAATGGGAAATAATCAAAGAATTTTCTGTGGTTGCAGGAATAGCTGATGACAAAGACTTTTTAAATCTTACTTTTTGTAGAGGCCTTAAATCTAAGCATTGTTCAGCTTGTAACAAATGTGTGTCAGATTTTGATCATCACTGCAAGTGGTTAAATAACTGTGTCGGTGAACGAAACTATAAGTAAGTAGGTTTTGTTTTTGTTTAGTTCATATACCTTGTGTAATTTCGTAGGTTGAGGGCGAAAATTGTTTAGCATTTTATGGAAATTTTGCATTTATAAACCCAGTTGTATTAATTTTAAATGCTTTAAAGGCAAATTATGTTAACATATAAGTTTAATTAGCCATTTATTAATACTGTATTAAAAATATTTAGAATGCTGCCATTTTGAAATATGTATCTCTAATATGATCTGAAGAAGATCCAAGCACATAAAAATGACCAAGCACATAAAAATGATCTAAGTGGAGGACAGAAAAAATTCTGTGCAAAAACACAGGAAAATGGGATAGAAGAAAAAAAAGTCATGGTTATTAAGTTTCCATAAATGTTTTTGGTTGGGTTTTTAATTTTTTTTTTCATGAAATTTGGAACTTGGGTGAATTTTAGTAGATAGCCTCTCTATATCTATGTCTAAACCCATCCTAATGTAGGCCTATGTCTCCAATGAGAGCGTATGTGAGCATGGTCAGGGGATGCTCAGATGTCCTCAAAGCGGCGCAAAGCTCCTGGAACCTATAACAATTTATTTAGTTAGTTTTTTAAACATCTAGTGACACTTTGTATAAAAATAAGTATTGACATGTTATTTGTTTTCCTCTTAGGTTATTCATCATGTGCCTTACATCTGCATTTGTAACCTGTTTCATAGTATTGTGCATCTGTTTCTACATTGCTATTGCATACTGGGTCAATCCTATGCTTCTACACCCATACCTTCTAGGTAAATTAAAGCACAGCTTTTTTATTTACTTTATAAATTTTAATTGAAAGCTAATAACTTGTTGAAATATGGTATATTCATTCATATTCATATTCATTTTAAAGTTTAATTGCATTTAGTAATAGATCTTAATTATTGATCATGTGATGATACTGTAAATATACTATATTATCATTGAATTTGAAATATAGTATTAATAGAATAATATAATAATAGTACCTGTTATGTCAAGTGTATTTTACCATAGAGAAAATAGAACAGAAGGAGTAACATCGAGCGAAGATCAAAGGTACAGACCTCCTCGCCGCGATCGTAATTATCTCACCGTTACGTAACCTACTTGACAACAAGATAAGCAGAAATCGGCAAACGCGCAATGGTATATTCATTCATATTCATATTCATTTTAAAGTTTAATTGCATTTAGTAATAGATCTTAATTATTGATCATGTGATGATACTGTAAATATACTATATTATCATTGAATTTGAAATATAGTATTAATAGAATAATATAATAATAGTACCTGTTATGTCAAGTGTATTTTACTGACTCGATGATATTCAGGAGCGGCGCTAGCTTGGATCCCCTCTCAGGGAAAAATCAAATCTCGAGCGCCTTACTAAGCTATCAAATTTTAGAGATTAAAAACGGGTTGCAGTGGTAGCGCCAGCTCTTCCCCAACAGGGAGCTGGTACCTCCGACAGGGGGTTTAGTATGCCCCAGCAGGGGGACTAAAACCACCGACATGTGAACTCTTAACTTGCATGCTAGGCTCTCCGGCAATTCACTCTCAATGCTTGGGTTTAGACTGCTTTCTTTGGGAGCTTGGAACCCTCATCGTGAAGTTCCTGACGCCACCCCTGATGATATTCGACAACACTACCTTTTTGCTTTCTGTATATATTTATCAACTGTCAAGACATCAAGACGTAATTATAGTACCTGTTATATATATTTATTTAGATGCTGTTATTGATCAATATGGTGAATATTACTTAAGAATGAAAAAGATAATATTTCTCATATGTTAATTGTTTCAATGTTCTCAGTAATAAACAATTGTAGTTATTGTATCAAATAGTTAACTACAAATATTATTATTAGATTTATTTTGTTTCTGAATCTATACAGAAAACAGTGCATCAATGTCTTCCACTGCTGGGTCTACAGACTACCATGATGAGTTAAATGTATTCAGACCAGTTTCAGGGCCAGTATTCTTTGCTGTCATCTGCATCATGGTGCTTTTACTACTACTCACCGTCTGTCTACTCGGCCATCTTCTGGGCTTCCATATCTACCTTAGTAAGTCGACAGCTATTTCAAAAAGTGACCTTTTGGTTTTGATAACTGGGCTGGGAAGCCCCCAAAATATGACAATTTAGGGATTTCAAAGGCTTATTTAATCGATTTTGTAGATAGAGCTTACTAATATGTAGAAATATATGTCATTTTTTTTCTCCCTGACTTAAACTGCGGTTTTACTCCCCGATGAGGAAGCCGTGTTTCCCCTACGGGGCCCCCACTGGTGCCACCACTGTAACGGGGCCTTCTGCTACTACTGTAGCATCCGAGTGTGAAAACATACTGCAATTTGACAATAGGTTGTAGCATTTTCTTGTGTGCCTGTAATTGAAGCAAAGCATTTCTACAAGTTTTTAATATTTTTTGATTACACATTATATCATATAGGGTTTACAATTTCAGGATAAAATTAATAAAAATTAATAAAATTGGCAAACAATAACACAGATGTTTGGAAATACACAAAAATACTTCAGAAATTTATCATTAGGTGTAGACCCATACGTAAATATGTCTACATATTGTCTAACGTCTGGATAATGATTTTTCCATCAGGTCCTTTGGTTATATTTCCCCTTGACAACTCAAGACTTTTATAGATTACTGATAATTTAATGTGAAAACCAAGAAAACGTGACCCATAAATATTCACTCCTTTCTGGTTTGAAATTCCATAGCTGTTGTTAGCTGACCTGTAATTTAAGCAACCCATATTTTGCACTCAAGGCAAAGTTATTAAGTGTTAAAGAAATATGTTATTTACTACGGATATTTGAAGACTAAATTCACACCAAATACATGTGACCTGAGCGGTGTTGATTGTTTGAGGGCTATTACTTGGCTTTTCATCTTCAGGATTTATACATGTACAATCTGCTGCGGCCATTCTCCTTTATTCATCCACGAGAATCTTTGTCCTTGTAGCCATAACAAATTAGTGAGGAATTGAGTTGAATTTGCACCCCTAGATGCAGCATCTGTCGGGTTTTGATCAGTCACAACAAATTTCCATTGGTCTTTACTAGTTGTATCTCTTACATTTACTCTATTCAACACAAACATATGAAACTTGAAAATGTATACTGCTGTACTATCAGCCCAGTAGAAGGCCTTGTGAAATTGTAGATCAAAATCTTGCAGTATAAGCGCACCGATACGAACTGACATTGTTGCCGCTGTGAGCTCCATCCTAGGTATTGTTACTTTCTTAATTTGAGCAACTCGGGCTTTCCCCATCAAGAAAGAGCAATGAATTTCACCTTGTTCATTTATTTGTCAAAGCTGCAACATTATCCTTCACTACAGGCTTCAAAGAATGTATGGATTTGTCTATTAACTATGTTACCAATTTGAAGTGGTAAATAACAATAATAATAATAATAATAATAATAATAATAATAATAATAATAATAAATAATAATAACTAGATTTGAACTCGTCACTGAGGACGAGTTAGGTGATCTACCACACTTCGACCCTCAGGAAGTGTGCGCGGTGCAGATTGAACAATTTTTGCTGAAAATGGCCTAAAGTATACATTACGCTAATTCAGTTCTTTAAAAACGAGTAATTTGGAGCATTTTAAAGCATTTTAAATTTACTCATGCGTACACGCATGTCATGATAATGTCACAAAATGTTGAATCCTGATATGAGATATACAGTATGTATGATATCAACTCTCTTTGACAAATGCCTGTTGGTGAGGGATTTATTATCATTCATAATATTTATCATATATAAAAATTCAGTTTTTTAGAAATTCAGATGGAAATATGATGACGTCATGTCCGATCAGCCATAATGATCTACAAAATCATATCTACAACTCATGTGCTTTCAAAATACAGTATGTAATAAAAATTGGGGGGGTCACCTTTAATCCTATGGAGCTATAACTGATTAGAAATATTCATGATTTTAAGCATACATAAATTTTGACGCACGAATACGTGCACGTTATGACGCGAACACAAAAAATAAGGTGCATAAAATTTAACCTTGAAGTTTGTGCCCACTAAATATAATTCAACTTCAGGTCAAGGTTAAATGTCACGTACCAAAATATTTTGCATTCGCCTCATAACACACGCATACTTGTGCGTCAACATTTCAAAATCCCCTTTTGACTAAATTAGAGAACGTTTCATGCCATTTTGAGCATTTCAAAATTTTTTTTAAATTTTTCAGCACGTACGGAAGCTAGACATTACGTTTTTTCACATATTTTGGGTTCCTGACATCAAACCTAGTGATCTTTGTGCGCGTTTGTGCCGATATACTGTACAGTGAAATTATACTAAAATAAGTCTTAATTTTGAACAGTTACAGCTCCTTAGGATGAATGGTGACCCCTTTTTTTTATTACATATTCTGAAAGCACATGCGTTGTAAATATAATTTTATAGATCATAATGGTTGATCGGACATTGTGACGTCACCATATTGCCATCTGAATCCAAAGAAACTGAATTTTATCTATGACGTCATTTTTTAATATACGCATTTTAGCGTATCTCGCTTATCCTTGATCGATCCTATCTCAACTTGAGTATGTTGTAGCTAAGACAATTCTCTTTCATATATGTGACTTTTACATTGTGATGACGACATCATGGTCAAAATAAATGCTTTTTCTGACCCCCCTCACCTTTTTTTCTTCAAAAATTTGATGACCCCATATCCTCTTAAACAGTCATCATTTCTGTATTATATTAAGTAGACATAAATTTCAGGTCAAAATTGAATGTCATGTATCTTAATTTTCTGGGCGCGCGTCTTAACGTGCGCGTACGTGTACATCAAAATTAAAATATGCTTCAAAATCATGCCTATTTTTAATCAGTTATAGCTCCTTAGGATGAAAGGGGACCCCCAATTTTTATTACATATTCTGAAAGCACATGAGTTGTAGATATGATTTTATAGATCATTATGGCTGATTGTATGCAATGCAATATGATGACATTGTGACGTCCTCATATTGCCATCTGAATTTTTTTTTAAATGAATTTTTATTTATAACGTCATTATTGTTATACTCGTTTGAACGTATCTTGCTTATTCTTGATGGATCCTCTCTTGATGGATGTTATCCCTTTATTTTCCATCATCATGGTCAAAAAGAATGATTTTTTGAGCCCTCTCATCTCTCTTTCTTCAAATTTGTCATTTTGAGCATTCCAAAACTTTCCATAATTTACGCGGCGTACAATTATTTCCACGCAAACAGCACTTACTGAGGCTGGAAATTACGTTTTGTTACATATTTTGAGTTCCTGACACTGTATTCAAATCAGGAGTAAACTTTTTGTGCCATTAACATACGCACAGGCGTCAAGATGTCGGCATACGCAAGCATAGATCTTTTCAAATGTTTAGAATTACACAGAAAAAAGAAACTAGAGCATATATGTATTTTAGGCCATTTTGAGAATTTTTGAACTTTTCAATCTGCACCGCTCGTGCTTCCTGAGGGTAGAAGTGCGGTGGATCACCAAACTTGTCCTCAGTGACGAGTTCAAATCTAGTTATTATTATTTTTAATTTTTGAACAATTTTGGCTTTGCATATATGCATTTCAGTAATTTATGTTTACGTTAGTACGTAGGTACATCCTGCAAAATTACCTAATGGTCTGTAAGCACAGGGTAACATGGTCTCGAAAGATGTACTGGGTTCTCCAAAGTGCACATGAGCCAATTGATCTGATCTCAATTTAATTTCTGTTCCTCGCACCAACACTAAGACCTTCGGACACAGATCCTTTTCATTTGCTGCAGCCACACTCTGGAACGCACTACCACTTCACATTAAAAAATCAACATCAATTGCTTTATTTAAAAAATCACTCAAAACGCACTTATTCCAACAATAACATGAAGCGCCACTGATAATTACTTCGGTTTTTTAAATGGCGCTATATAAGTTCTTACCTTATTATTATTAATTGTGTACACTGGGCATACGGTTTATAGTCCATATCTGAGAATACTTTTTTCAGAACCACAGACGAGTATGTCGTTCGAACCAGTGCTGATATTATGGCTGCAGGTTGTGGTGCCCTGCCTTAACTGCTCAGCCATTTGACTCGCTCATAATATAAGTTTGTTGCTAGGTCCTTGATTCACCTTTTGTCATTTTCTTAGACCATTGGAATTCTCTGTTTACAGTAAAACCCCTATTAAGGGACACTTTTAATTATAATTTTATGTTATTTAAAAATTTAAAAAAATATTTGTATCATGTTTTTGAGAATCATTAGGACCATGTAATTTCCTGTGAAAAGGATCAAATAAAGTTAATCTGTATTGCTTTTGGCAAAATGGACTTGGCAATCTGGCATTTGGTACACTGGGTTTCGGAGTCGTCCTAACCACTTTTTGACTACAGCTAAAGTCACTAATGAGAATGCAAAAATGTTGTTTGTTTGTTGAGAAATGCGCAAGTGGACACAACCGAACTCATGCCAAGAGTATCTATGTTAAAATACTTTATTATTTTATGTTATTTAAAAATTAAAAAAAATTATTTGTATCATGTTTTTGAGAATCATTAAGATCATGTAATTTCCTGTGAAAAGGATCAAATAAAGTTAATCTGTATTTGCTTTTGGAAAAATGGACTTGGTAATCTAGCGTTTGGTACACTGGGTTTCGGAGTCGTCCTAACCACTTCTTGACTACAGATGAAGTCACTAACATAGCAAATTTAACTTCTGTTTAATCTGTTTTTTCTACTTTTAGTTTACAGAAATCTGAGTACTTATGAATATATTGTGCTTAAACGCGAGCTTGAGATGAAAAGAAAAATGGATTCAGAATCACAGAGCCATGATGTTCAAGAGGAAAAAAAATGTTGTGAAAGAAAGGGGAAAAAAGTAAGAGTAAATTGAAAGCACAACATAAGCAATGATTAGTATAAATATTTTAGTGATCTTTGACTTTAAACGCTACATTAATGATGAAAATAACAATTACTACAGCCAATATCCATAGTACAGTTGTAAGGTTGGAAATATGTGAACAAAGTAGTGATTTGAGCAAGAAAAAAAAATTAAGATAATGATAATGGTACTATTAAAATTATGATGATGATGTTATTTTTTAAAGTTTTATTTATTTCAACATACACTTTGGCACTCATCAGTTTGATAGTGCATTTTTTATTTATTTATTTATTCTTTCTATATACTGAATATACATAGTACTGATTTCCAAAGTGGTTCAATTCTTAACTGCAAAAAAAGCAGATATATACACATTGTAACCAAAAAAGAACAAAAACTTAACTACAGATTAACAAATAGATTTAAAAGAAGCATTGTAAGAAACTTAAGGAAATAAAATATATGAATAATAAATATGGATATGCAAGGTAGAGAAAATCAGGTTAAATTAAGATGGTATTATTGAGGATTTAAAATAGAATGCTTAAAATTTGAAAGTGTTATAGATTTAAAGTTGGTCTTAGTATGATCCTGGAGTTTATTCCATAATTTAAAAGTTCTTTTAAATTGCATATTATTCCAGGTGTATTCAATAAGTGTATTTTTTATTTTATTGCGAGTACAATGCGTATATGCAAACCATAATTAAAAGCAAAATTTTCAATAAATATGATGGAGCATGACCATTTAAACATTTGAAAATCATTATGAGCAATTGTTCGTCTCATTTATCACAGCTGTACACTATAGTACTGTATGCGCTCTATAAGTCGACCATTATTGTTTTAACCTCGTATAAACTAATAGTATAGTAAAACCAAACAATTAAAACAAAAGCAAGATGGTAACAAAATAAACCCAAAATATTCACTACTTCTTAACAAAATAAAACCAGTATAATAATAGCAATAACAATTTTTATTATAGTGTTAGTGATGATTATAATGTTAGTGGCGCAGTGATATTGTGTCAGTATTGTTGTTTATGTCTTTTAGAATAATAAAGTTACACCCATGTACATTGATGGAGAAGAGGAGTTGGCACTTCAGAATAAGCATGAGTGAGTAAAAATGTTTATTGTGTCAAATGTGTAAACTTATTAAATTATAATATTTTATTGTTGAGAAGGGTTTTGCAGGGGTGGGGTTTGTTTTAATTCAAGGGAGGCGATTTTTTTGTGGGAGGCGTTCATTTTTTTTTTTTTGTGTAAATGAATATACTCGAATAGATGCTCCTTAATTTCACTGTAAATGTAGAAATACAACACATAATTGCCATCACAATGTGTTGTTGCATGATTATAAACACTTATTGATCCCAACCGGGTTAGAAAAAATGTACTACTGGAGTAGAACATTAACATATTGTGTTGAGAATGATGTTGCTTCCATTATATTTGTCATTTAGTGGGAGCGTTTATTCAAGGACAAAGTAAACGCTCTGCGGCATTTGTTTGAGAGAGGTGTTTATTCCAAATGAGGATCTAGAGGGGAGTTTATTTGAGGGGGACGTTTATTGAAAGTGGATGTTATTTTAAATAATAATTTAAAGCTAATGTTTTTATATTTAATTTGCATCTTCCATTTTCTGTAGTAGAGCAGCTAAAAATTGCCATAAAATGGCCAAGTTGTGCATTTAATTATCAAAATATGAAATTGGCAAAAAATATTTTTGTAGATTAAAAAAAAAGTTGTGTGCCAAGTTTATGAAGCCTGCTATGGCTGCCATTTTGAATTCAAAATGGCCATCTACTAAATGACTAGATTCATATATCTTGGCAACGGAAAATCGTAGAGACTTAGTTTGGTCTCAAATTGTTCGTAACATACATGTTTCTATAACATGGAACAAACTTACTCCGAATAGAGAGAGGGAGGTCATGATTCAACATTTCAACCTTTATTGGGTCATCTTCTATTTGCTGTAATGTAATGTTTTGTCTAATAGTGACCGGAAATGACATTTCTGACCTTTGACACTAGGTACCTTATATACAGTATCCTTGTCTCCATAACCATCAGTCTTAGAGACCTAATTTTGGTCTCAAATTGTTCAGAACATGCATGTTTGGAATATTTAAGTGAATTGTAATAATTTGTAATTAATTAATCAAGTTTGGCTAATCAAAATATATTGATTTATGTTTTTGATATGTGATGTGGTATCTAAAAACACAACAGAGTGAATGCTGCATTATAGCTTTCATGATAGGACATAATTCTATTTCAAAAAGTACTACCACGAAGGGGCGTGTCCTTGAAAAGATAAGTTTTTAGCGAACTTTATTTAAATTCTAATAGGCCGCCACCAATCTCGTGGTAATACTTTTGTTAACGTTTCATTGCGTGCATACAAAATGAAGGCAGTCAGACCTCTTGCAATTCTATACTTTTTGCTACTCCTACTAGTTATATTTCTCCTAGGTCTTCTTCTTAGTCTATATTTATGAATTTGAATTTAAGTGGTAGTAATGATTATTAACTTACCTCACATAGCAGCCTTCCAAGCACCAGTAGAGCAGTAGTCCATCACAACAATGATGTTGTAAAGAACACAAGACAAGAAGGTACAGATGAAACACAAAGCAACAAACATGAATGCAAGACAGTGAACAGTGGAAGATTTACCAGTACCCATAGCAGTACAAGGAATAGTAAATCAGTGGAACAAAAGAAGAAAGATCAAGTTAGATTTTATTTCCTGAAATTTATTACTATTTATTGCTGTTCATAATGCAACTTCAATTATTCATTCATGTTTACTGTCCGAAATATTTTTATCTTTTTATATATTGTATTATACTGTATTGTAAATATCGTATAGTATTTTTTGTATTTATGTGCACGGCCTCAGGGAAGACCAACTCTGTGTTGATCTTGGCTTACGTGGTACATAAAGTTGTGGTGATATTCAAATAACAGAAGCAATGATGATGGTGATGTCATGTGACTTATGATAGTAACAGTACAACAACAGCACCTTGTTGTTATGTTGTCTATCTTTGTGAAAAGGATGATGATCATTGAGAACAATTACAGGGTACATCACTAATATTGAATAAAAAGTGTCTTAATTTCTCTTTTAGAATTTAATATTGATTTTAGTTTAAAAATGCAATATTTATGTCTAGTTGATAACTTGAATTGATACATAAGTAGAGTTGTAAAATTCATTATCAAAATTGTTTGTTTTTTCTTTTATTAAGAACAAAAAATAATTTCCTCTAGCCCAAAATTCTATAGCTTCTTTAGAACCCTGTACTATTGCACTTGTAATAAAATTGTTACACTTTGTAATGGGTCCCAATGGCTACGGTCACACTAGAGTCTCAAGCCTGGCTTGACTCACTGCGGGTGAGATTTCAAGCCAGGCACGAAATTCTGGGTCGGTCACACTACCTGAATTTATTTGGATTGACCTCCAAATTAGGAAAGTCGAAAAACAGGAAGTTAGAGCGCCGCCACAATCAAAATACCGGCCCCACGTGCGAAACATTCTTGCGGTCGATCTTTACTTCCTTGGAATCGAATACAAACACATGCACCCAACTTCGTTAATTGCATTTACTACCGTTGCAGGTTAGGAGAATCGATGTAGATCATAGACCTATGATAATGGACATGTGGATGATCTAGGCCTAGGCTCGGATGTAATGGCGATGCCAGTTTTCGGATTGATAAGTGCATTTATAAATGACAACGGATGATTGCGTCTTATTATAATACACACATGAAGAACTTGCAGGTTTTTTATTCAAGAACTTCTAAACGCAACGGCGTCATCGCCTGTGATTGGTCGACAGCCGACGAGGAAATGTCAATCCTGGTCACACCAGGGCAATCCAAGGTCAATCTGGGTGCTGAGCCGGGATCGAGATAGGTAGATTGAGACCGAGGTCACGCCAGGCGCGAGTTGATCCAGGTGCGGTCACATTACGAAAATCTCACCCGCGGTGAGTCAAGCCAGGCTTGAAACTCTAGTGTGACCGTAGCCTGTCACACTTTGTTGTAAATCCTGTTGCACTTTTTTTTTTTTTCAAATTTCTTATTTTTCTAGTTGGATTGACATCAAACTTTGTAGAAATGATCATCTGACATAGGCATGTCATACAAATGTCATGGGTTAATTTGAAGAAAATTAAAATAAAAATACTTTCTTTTTATATATAAACATCAAAAACTTTTAAAGAATAATATTTTGGTATGGTAGAGTGGACATTATTACTAAGTGCGATAACACCATGATAATTAAAGATTGGTAAGTCTGATTAGTTTCGAACTTGGCAGAATGCAAAATGGTAATTAGAAGATGGAGCCTATTGTTGGTACGTGTGTGAATATGCTAATTGCTCATTTGCATTATTTTCTAAAGTACATGACACTCATATCAAAACAACCCAACGTAAAAGAAATATTCGTAGAGAGAATAAGCCATGGATAACAACTGGTATCATTAATACGTCAATTGATAAAAGAAATAATCTTTATAAGAAATACCTTAAATCAAAAAAAGAATCTGATAAATACAAGTATATAATATATAGCAATAAGTTGATGCATTTATTAAAAATTTCAAGGAAAAAACATTATAATGATTAACTTAATTCCTATAAAAACAATATTCAAAAGACTTGGCAAACAATTAACTCTGTCTTAGGACGCAACACAAAAAAACATTTTCCATCTTTTTTTCAGCACGAAAATTCTAAAATTACTGATCCTTACTGATACTGATTTGATAGCAAATAAATTAAATGATTATTTTATAAACATTGGATCAAATCTCACAGAGAAAATTAACAAACCTACTAACCAGCACTTTACGTCATATCTTAATCCACCTCTTAAAGACTCATTTTTTCTCACACCACCCTTTGAAAAGGAAATCATAAATATTATTAAAGTACTAAAAGAAAAAAATAAGGTTGTGATGAAATATCTAACAAAGTCGTTAAATTCATTTCTAATTTAATTACGAAGCCCTTATGTTATATTTTCAACCAATGTTTTGCCAAAGGAATTTTTCCTGATAACTTGAAGGTTGCCAAGGTAGTTCCTATTTTTAAAAAAGATTATCCTCATTTATTTACTAATTATTATAGACCAATCTCTTTGTTACCATGTTTTTCAAAAATTCTGGAGCGCTTAATTTACAATAGATTATACACCTTCTTAATCAAACACAATATTCTTTATAATCGCCAATATGGTTTTAGAAAATTATACTCAGCAGATCTTGCTCTTATTTTTACGACCAAATTACTAAAGCAATTAATAATAATGATTTTACAGTCGGTATTTTTCTTGATTTAAGCAAGGCTTTTGACCATTGACCATGAAATTCTATTGAGTAAACTTGAACGATGTGGTGTCAAAGGCCTTGCTCTTAATTTATTTAGAAATTATCTTGGCAACCGACAACAGTTTACTACATTTAATTCTTACGACTCTTATTTATCTAATATTACATGTGGTGTTCCACAAGGATCCATACTTGGGCCCTTGTTATTTTTAATATATGTTAATGATCTCCCAAACTGCTCTTCTCTTTTAAACTTTGTTCTTTTCGCAGATGACACTAACATTCTGTATTCACACCAAAATAAAAATGATCTCCTTTCAATTATTAACACTGAATTAACTAAGGTATCTAATTGGCTTAAATTGAATATGCTATCTCTTAATATTTGTAAAACTAATTTTATTATTTTTAAAAATAAAATAAAAAACGGAGATTCCTTTCTTATTAAAATTGATAACAACATAATTAAACAAGTAACCGGAACAAAATTCCTTGGCATTACATTAGACTTCAAATTTTCTTGGCAATCCCATCGTAACAGTATTACAAATATTATATCAAGAAACATTGGTGTTATAAAATAAATTAAAACATTACTTTCCACAGAATATTCTTTTATACTTTACTTTACTTTAATCTTACCTTATATCAGTTATTGTAACACATCATGGGCTGCCACAGTTGATAAATTTCTTCACCTATGTCCCTGTACAAGTCCTGAAACATCCCCTATTGACTATATTTTTAAATTACAAAAGCGAGCTCTCAGGATTTGTGCAGGGACAACTCGTATTTCCCATACCAAACCTTTATTTTACAAATTTAATGTTCTAAATGTATTTGATTTGCATAAATTACAAAACTATGTTTTTATGTATTGCTTTAGAAATGAAACATTACCCCCACATATTTATAATCTATTTCCAAAACAACAGTCTGACATACATAATCATAATACTAGATTTGCTAAAAGTAACGTTTTATTTGAAAAATATACACCCTCTTCTATAAAAAAAATCCATATTTTACACTAGTCCAAAATTATGGAATTCCTTAAAAACTTCCTTTAAATCCTTAACTAATCTCAAGTCTTAAATACACTCTTAAAAAGCCTCTGGTCTCGGAGTATGGCGGGTAAGTCTCTTGGTCTGTCTGTCAGTCATTCTTATTATACTTAACGAACTGCTACCATATTTCTATATATTTTTAACTGGTGGCCACTGCTTAAATTTTATTCTAAACTTATTTTGGCTTCCTTCCACACACTTATTCTGTAATGAACTTTATTCTTAGTTGGTTTTACTATTAAGCTTTTATTTTGTATGTTCCTATGTTCATGTGTGTGGAGAAATAAATTAAACAAACAAACAAACCTAACCAGTGGGCTAGGTCTCAATTGGATTTATTTGGTGTAAATACCAAGGATAACCCACAAAGTCAGAAGAAAAATTATATCCAGTAGGGTCCCTCAGGTGGAGATTATTCAGTACAACTGGAGACAATCCCCTACTCTTTTCCGAAGAGTGTACTGTGTACTTTAACATGCAAATGGGTCATAATCTACACAGGACCAACAGCTTAAATGAATCATCCGGAAGATGGTGTGCTATCGTAACTTGAATTCAGCCCTCCAGCTGAAATACAAGGAGAGTGGTGATGAGAAGTGAACCAGGGACCAACAGATCTCCACTGTTCAGCACACAGTGGCTACTGTGACTGGGCATTTATATGCGCCTTTCTTTTCGGTTGCAAAGTGCTACCAATAGTTTAGCCAACCGAGCTAAACTGCACTCTCTTCAATGCCTATGCCTAGTACTAGTAGAATTGTTGAAAAGGAGGAGGAATCAGAAAAATAATAATAATAATAATAATAATAATAATTAACAACAACAGAGAAGAAAAACCAAAACAAATGCACCAAAAAAGAAATATAATATTAATTATTTCCTATTATTCTCTTTCTTATAATTCGTATCTGTCTTTCATATTTCATTTTTATATTTCTTATCATTTCTTTTCTTTTCTCATGTTTCCATGTCTATCTTTCCTTTCTTTTCTTTTCTCATGTTTCCTGATATTTCCTTTTTCATCCTTAGTTTGTCTTTCCTTTCCTTTTACTTCTTATCTTTCTTTCCATTTACCTTCTTATCATTCCAAATTCATTTCTTCCCTTCCTTTCTTATGTTCATTATCATTCTTATTGTTATCTTTCTTATGTTTCCTTATTTTTTCTTTCCTTTTCCTTTCTCATGCTTCCATATCGTTTCTTTCCTTTCTTAAGTTTAACTTACCTTTTATTCAAACAAAACAAAACAAGAAAGAACAATGAATTGGCAGAAGGAATTTAGAGGCAACTTTCAAAACTTTCAGTGAAGAGATGTTTTTTTTAGCAGTGATTTGAATGTGAGAATTGAATCAGAATTTTTAATGTGCTCGGGGAGGGCATTCCACAAAGTGGCTGCAATGGAAGAAAAGGCTCGGGAGCCATATGTAGTGGTTTTAGTTTTCTTGACTTTAAGACGATTTAGTGTGGATGAACAGAGAGAGGGTGTAGGGATGTACTGATCAAGAAGTTCAGTCACATACTCTGGAGCAAGATTGTTCTGAGATTTGTAAGTTAAGAGAAGAACTTTATATATGATCTGTTTTTTCGATGGGGAAACAGTGAAGCTGATGGAGAACTGGGGTTATATGGTCACAGCGCTTATTCAAAGTAACAAGACGGGCGGCAGAATTTTGAATGAGCTGCAATTTGTAGATTTGAGACTTTGGTAGTCCAATAAGGAGGCTATTACCATAATCCAGCCTTGAAGTTATAAAGGCGTGAACTAGACGGAGGTGGTTGGGTTGTCCAAAAATTTCCTAATCTTTCAAATTTTACGGATCACAACATGGGAAGACTGACACACAGTGTTGATGTTGGAGAATAGACTGAAGTTGTGTGCAAACAATCCTCTCAAGTATTTTTGATAAGAAGGGAATGTTAGAAATTGGCCTGTAGTTGGACAAAATGTCAGGATTTAGGTTAGGTTTTTTGTTATCAGAAGGAAAAACACCGGATGTGAGAGACTCGTTGACTAAATGCGTAATTGAAGATAAGAGCTTGTTACAGTGACCTTTCAGAAGAAAGGTGAGAATAGGCTCAAGCTCACATGATTTAGTTTGTGAAGCCTTAATGACATCTTCAGAGGTTACTGAGTCCCACTCACTAAGGTTAGAAACAGGTTGCTCAGTAGGAAAAACCAGTGAAGAAAAATTAATTTCCTGTTCCAGCTGCTTTTGGATGTCAGTGATTTTATCATGAAAAAATCATTGTTAGTATAGCGCAAAAATATTGTTAAAAGCTTTTATTTATTTTATTTCATTTCACATCCAACAGCGGGGAGCCTGCCACTTACAGAATGGAATAATATAAAACATAGTGAACAATAAATTACTATACACACAAAAAAACAGTCAAATATCTAAATATATGACTAAATTTTAAGTGTAAACGTTCAAAACAAATTATAATAAACGTCAATAGAATTATTTTAAATTGCATTCAAGGTATCATCAAAAAGGCAAGCTAAAACAAGAACAACAGTATAATAAAACATTACAGAAAAAACAGTAATCTTGGTAGTCTGATAGTCAACTAATGATAAGACAACTGCATCTATCTTGATTTTCAGTAGAAACACACCCAAAACAGCGATAGTAATGTTTATTATTGGAAGTGGAAAAGTTTTATTAGAAAATGTAACAGTTTTATTACAATGTGTGAGAGTGTAAGTACAGTAATTATGTGGGATAGGTATTACAAGTGCATTACTACAAACCCTCTAATTATGAAATTAACATTTATATGAGTACAATTGATGAGATTCAGTCTTTCCAGTTATGTAACGTTAAAAAAGATAGTTATACATATTAATTTGTATTTAATTTAATTATCAAAAAATTAATTTTAGATTTTGGATTTTTGCTGTTATTTTTTATTGTAATAGTTATCATTATTATAATGATAATAATATCAGTAATAATAATATAGAATTCACAGTTATAATATCAACTTTAGTGTGTATTTTTTATGGTTTGTTTCTTATCACATTACTGCAGATACCTATCAATAATGAGTCATATCTTGATCATTCACAGAGCAAGTTATCTTGGAATAATAGCATGCTACCTCAGAAATTTGACTCAGAGATGTTGAACCAATCTCAAGAGCTCCTACCACCACAGCAAAATGTTTTGGTGGAGCAACATTATGTTTGCCCACTAGGCCTGTCGCAGAGTTTACCAGAAACCTATTTAGAGCAACATATAGTACATAGGTTCCCAACCAATGCTGCTGTGAGGCAACGTCACAGCCGTAGTTTATTACAGCTAGGAGGTAAGAATTGAACAATTAATTTAACTAAATTTGTGAGTGAATTTACATATAGTACCTTAAAAAATTGATTAAAAGAAATTGAAAATTTGTAAACAATATCACTATGAATATAAGGATTACAAAAAGTGAAAAAGTACACTAGAAAAATACCAATTACTTATAAATGCATTGCTCTATTAGATTATCCAATGCATTTACCGGTGTTTACATCAGGTTACCTTGCATATGCTCAGACAACCGATTTAGGATTGTCCATTGCCCATGTTTTGTTAAAGCCAGGCGAAGGTGGTTAATACACTCCTTTTCCCCAAGTTTTTAAATGTTAAAAAATTTGTATCTCGTTAACTACTTCCAAATCTTTCGTCAAATATGCTTTTTGTGTTTTAGAAAAATCAGTTGTACAACATATCAAACATTTTTTCCCTCCGGAGCCTGGCTTTAAAATAAATTGTTTATGGAATTATTGTTACTCATGACGGGGTGTCTAGAAAATTCAGATCTAAAGAACTGAGCTGAGTTTTTCAAGTCTTTAAATTATTAGGCTGTGCCATCATAGGGGTTTACTTACATGTTGCAAAGACAGAGGACAAACCAGTCACTTGTTGCAAATCCTGTTTCAGAGATAATGGTCAAAATATGCTGCAATGTCAAAAATTTTGAAATCTATTTTATTGCACTAAACTAACCTGTATATATCGATACATCATGACATGCTGTTATTTTCCCCATTTTCAATGTTAAAACAACAATTTTTAACAATTTGGTGATGGTTTCTGCATAAGAAATTCCTAAAATCATGAACTTTGAAGGCTGATTTCTCAAATATTGTTTTAAACAGCTGTATGTTTAAACCAGTGGCGGGCATAAAAATCGGTCGGAGGGCCAAAGTCAATTTTTGATTTAACACCGAGGACCGAATGCTAACTTTGATGTTTCCAGTGTGCTTCTAAAATCTTCAAGCACTGCTTTTACACCACTTTATTCTCAGTTTTAATATTACTTTTTACAGATGATCATTGTCCGGCCGTTAAAAACAAGGCGTTTTCTAGGCAATGTTGCTTATCGGGCCGCACACATAGGGTTTTCATTCATTTTCGCGGGCCGCCGCAAAATAATCACTTGCAGGCCGCACTTCGCCCACCTGTGGTTTCAATGCTTGTAACTTTATAAGGAAATGTCGAATTTAAGTGATTCTCTTTTAAGTTCTATGCTTAAAGCAATTATACAATTTCATGTTCCTATTCAAGTAACTGTATATTATTATTTACGTGTTTGTTCATTCATTGTGTTTTCAGTGCTACAGAGCAAACCTAATTTGAAGTTTATTTACTATGATTTTTTTACCTGCAACGTATATACAGTATATGTATGTTGCTTGGTATGAAAAGTTTCATCTATTTCATTGTATTCATTACAAAATATTTGGCATTTATTCTTCCAGACCCTGGGAGGAGATCACCTGCTGTTCAAATGGATCCATACTTGATGGCTGGCCTGACTTCTAGGCTTATCCAAGGAAGCAACATCAGTATTACAGCAGCAGGACCAGCATTTGATTATAACTCTGACTCAGCTGAATCCCTACATGAAATACCCATTGAAGGTTTTGCCAATATAAGTGGCCTAGCATGTTCTTATGACTCATCAAGCTATGCACATTTGGTGCAAAGGCAGCAAAATGTTAAAAATTCTTCAAACAATAGTAAAACTGTGCAGCCTGCAAACTTACCAAACGGAAGTAATGTCATGCAGCGTCAGTTTTTAAAGTCAACTACTGGTGATTTGTTCTTTTCTAGCTCAGGTTCGTATAATTTATATCAAAACAATGGACATCTACTCGAAACAGATGCTTATTCTTATGGAAAATTGAAATATAGCTTAGCGATAAATGCAAAAAAAGAAATACCAAGTAGTCAACATCACAATCACTTTTTTCCAGCTAGTTCACATTCGGTTGGGTTTTCCGTCCCTTGATCTTGGAAGCCTACAATGAGATATAATCTATCATCTTTTTATGTCTATTATAATATATGTGTGTATAT